GGAACTCGTGCTGGGCCCTCGGCCAGAGCCAAGGCCCAGTGGCCTTCAGCCGCCACTGCCGTGAGCACGGCAGTCCAGGTCAACGGATCGGGACTGCGGAACAGCGAGGCTTTATCAGCTGAGGGTCTGGCTCGTCTAAAATTTTAAATGCCCTAGTTATGGTTTAGACGCGTAGGCTTGTCGATTTCTGATCTTGGCTTTCGTGGCGGAAGTGTAATCAAGCCTAAGTTCGACACCATGAACCCCTAAAGCCAAAAGCCGACATATCGGGTTTTCAAAGCAATTCTCGATTCAGCACAGGAGGGATCATATCTGCAATAGGCTTTAACTACGCTGTGAGTCTATAGTGGTTATACGGAAGTATCCATCTGTTTTCCTGTTTACAGAAGAGCTGTTTTCGTTCTCGCATCGGGGCGGCATGCTTATCTCAAACCTCCCTTCCACGCGAGCAAGAACCCCGTGGCACGAGTGTCGTTCGCTTCTTTGCAAGGAGAAGCAGAGGTTAGCGGCTGAGCTTGACAGCCTACTGTCCAAGGCCATCTTTGCATGAGCCAGTCAACCCCCGCAAACTACGCGTTGAAACCACCACGCAAAAGCAAGTTGTGAGCAACCTTCAGGAAGGTGCGGACTTGTAGGGGCCGTGGNNCCCCCCCCCCCCCCCCCCCAAATTACGCGTCGGAACCACCATGCAAAAGCAAATTGTAGGAAGGTGCGGACTTGTACGGGCTGCAGGGCTGCCACGCTGCCAACAACCATCGTTTGGTGCGGTTCTCCATGGCCTTTTCACATGGCTCTACAGTGTAACCTCCGGCCTAGACCACAGCCCCTCAAAGCTATGGCCTTGGGCAGCAGCTGAGCGCCGCCATGGCTGATCCCCAGTCATGTGCTCGTCCGAAGGCAGAAACCTTGGCTCCGTGCCAGGCTGAGGGTCCAGGTGGGTTTTTTTACTCTTGCAGGCCATTTCAGGAAAAAGCAGGTCGGAATACAATCTCACAGCCTCGAGTTTACATGTCTCTGTCAAATCAAGTGTCGGCCACGTTGAAGTTGCCCATGTCTGTTTCGATGCCGAGGCTCCGGGTGCTCCTAAGCGTCACATAATTCCTCTCGGCGCGAATCTGGGTCTCGATGTTCAGTATTCCCCGGCACAGGGCAGAGTTTACGATTCATGCTTTGGATTGCAGTTAAATTAGCCAACTATGGCTTCATGCATCTGTCTTCATCATCTCTAATTGTTCCAGCCGTCTGTCTAGGTGTCCGCTCCTCGATTCTTGTGTCCAAACTTCCTACACTCAGACACGAGTATTCGGTCGTGTCCCGTTTTGATTTAATGTCTTTGCCTAGCAAACAGATAAATGAGAACATCAATATTACTACAGCATAATCTGCACGTCCGGTACACAATCCACACCCCTCACCCCGTATAAATCGCACTCATGAGGTCACCCGAAGACTCTCATGAAACCCTCCCTAAACCCGCACCCTAGAAGCCTAACGCCTTCTAAACGGAACGCCTAGACACCCAGACTTCCAAGAACAGCGACACCCCAAAAGCCGGCTCAGCCCCAGATATGGAAAACTCTTGTGCCGTGTGGCCGAAACATGGCCAAAGAAGACACCCAGGCCTTGCCGATAAAGAAATTGGTAATAAAACGTGAGGGTCTAATTGGGCATTGAAGCTTGTGCCATTTCTGAGGGCTAGAACATGCAGGCTCGCCAGCTACATGAACTCAAGCAGCGATTGACCTGCAGAGCCACACCTCGAGCCCTGAGCTCCTAGAGATGTCTTCTGCGGATCGCCGGACTTTCTTCCCAACTCTGAAGAATACTTGCAGCAGGAGAACACCAGAACAAGCCACGCCATACAGCCCTAACCTCCCTTGACCCTTCCCAACTTCTACGCCTGGGCCCGCGATGCAGCGCTCGAGGAGCTGCTTCCAGTGAAAAGGTCCGGCTGGAGGTGGTAGCCTTCGCTTCTATGCAGGGGTTTAAAAGGGACTTCGCGGATGTAGGGCTTGAGGTCTGGAATAGCCTTCTCGAGGGCATCAGGGCTTATAAGCACTCGGGTGCAAGTGGGATGTAAATATGTAGCATGTAGCATTCTGGGCCTAGGGCGAGTGCAGTAGCCCACAGCAGCTGACCACGAGACTGATGCGCACGCCTTCTGCTTACGTTAGCCAATGGTTGACATCGCCAACATCATCGTAGTCATCACCATCATCCCCATCACCATCCCTGCTCCTCCTGACCATCATCATCGCCATCGTGACCGTCCTTGTCATCGTCATCGTCATCATCATCATCGTCCTCGTCCTCGTCCTCGTCCTCGTCCTCATCCTCATCCTCCTCCTCATCCTCATCCTCCTCCTCCCCATCATCATCATCGTCATCATCAAGATCATCATCATCATCATCAAGATCATCATCATCATCATCATGATCCTGATCACCATTCTCACCATCACCACCACCACCACCACCATCAACTTCATCAGTACACCGTGCACCTCTTTGTTTGCTGTTGGTCTCTCTTGCAGTACATGTAGATCTTACTCTCAGTCCGCGCAATGCTTGGCTTTCGATGTCGCGTCACATTCCAGAATCTCCCGGGCTTTGATCACCACTTGACGGCATCATCATTTTAATCGTCTCGAAGTCGAGCACCCGAAAGTCACAGCCGATCGTGGTTGTTATTATCGCGACAGCGATGAATCTGAAGTTCATGATCGCAACACTGACGGCATACAGTATCTCAGCTAAGCCGTTCATGACCATGACGGTGGGGACCGTGCCGTACGACTTCCTTCTACATTCGCGCACGCCCCAAGGTTGACATGCCAAGGCCCCCCTACACCCGAAAACCCTCTCTGGAAAAACCCCTCGGGTATGCATAAAGCTCCTGCAGGCTCGTGGCTCTGCATGCGGTGCAGCACTTCCGAGGCGCGGCGCCACTCCCCCGCTTTGTCAAAAGCATCTGCCAAAGAGTTGAAGGAGACTTCGTCTAGGTGCTGGCTCCTTCGCACAGTGGCCAGCAGCTGCTCGCCCAATTGCCAGCTGCTACTGCGTGCACAGCAGCCAACTGCAGAATTGAATGAGACGATGTCCGGTTGAATTTGCAAGGCAGGGAGGTGGGATACCAGGAGCAGCGCGGAATCCTCTGCATCCTCGCAGGTGGCCAAGGCAGCATTGCCTAAAAAGACGTCTGCCTCGACCCATCGGCTCGGGAGATCGGCGAGAAGGTCCAAGGCACTCTTCCAGCGGCCACGAAAGCTGAAGATCAGATTCGCTGCAGACGTCGCAGAGGCGGCAAGGTGTCGATCTCGCCGCTCCTGCTCGATGAGCGAACTCTGCTCCCAGAGGTTCGACCTCGCCACGGCTCCCAGGGCGGCGCTAAAGCACGGGGTGTCGGCTTCGATCGACAGCGTGCCGATGCGCCAGAAGAGCCGAAGTGCACCAACCCAAATACTGTTCCGGTCGCAGGCAGTAATCGCAGCGCTGCATGCGAAGGCATCTACCTGTAGGAGCTCAGTGGCTGCACTCTGCAAGGAGGCCAATGCCTTCCTCCAGCGGGAGGCCCGAGAGACAGCTGACAAACATTTGGTGAACTCCAGAAGGACCTGAGCTGCTCTTGGAAATCGCTGTAAGGCGGCATCTCTGCGGTGGTCTGCGGTCCTGACTCCTGATACGAGGCAAAGTGAAAGTCTGTTGAAGACAGGCCTAGGCACCGGATCCTTCTTAACGCCCCCAGTCGGGCGGGTGACAGCGGCAAGCACCATGGCGCGCCCATGGCCTCCCAGTGGACTCGCCAGGCCATCGGCCGGCGCAAGGGTCTGCTGCAGTCCCAGGATCGGTTCACGGTCCAAGCGCCCAAGAGGGAAGAGTGCTCTTGGCTCGGGGAAGGCTCGCATGCAAATGCTTTTAGATACTTTGTGGACACGAGCTTCTGCGCATTCCCATGTCTATGTGGGTGTGTGTGTGGGCGCATGCATGTGTGCGTGTGTGACTGTTTGTCTCTGTGTGTGTGCATATGTACGTATGTATGTGTTCTTCTTCTTTGTGTCAAAGTTTTCTGGGGGCAAGCTTCTCTGAGTCTCTGGATGCTTGGACACTTCTTGGTCTAGCCAGCGGGCTGAGGGGCGGCCATGCGGAGAAGCGCGAAAGGATCGCACGTGGCCGTCGGACTGTTATATGGATGAAGACAGAAGGCTAGCTAGCCGTCGAAGGAGTAGAGAGCCGTTGCCAACAGGCTTTGATTGCAACTGTCGTGAAAAATTACCATGAAGCTTTGCTGACAAGATCGCTAATCCTAGGGCCACCTTCTGACTATGTGTCGTGCCATGGACGATCACCTGTGCTCAGAAAGAGCCATATAGTGATACACCTTTGCGGCCAAGAATAGACTAGGCATGACAGTCACATACGAAAAGATGCGACCAACATGTGCTGAACATAGGGGTAAGTATGCATTCAATGTACTGCAAACACGCAGGCAATCACATTTCCTAGACGCTGCTGCCTAACTTTGGCTCGTCTCGCCTCCTGTGCTCCTGAAGAATGCAAACAGCGCTGCAAGCATACGTGCTAAATTGCTGCAGGGCCGGGGCTTAGAGTTGAGGGGGAGCTGTATAGTTGAAAAGCTAAGACCCTCAGAACCCCTCACCTTCTTGCAAGCTCATGCCCGGTCGTGAAAGCTACAGGGCAAATGGAGACTGAGATTATTCACGCATTACGTTTTTGCAGTGGTCACTTTGGCATGCGACAGTCTTGGGAAACGCCCAACAGAAAAACTGAAAGCGTCCGAAAGGTTTTGAACACAACTTTCGGAATGCTTGTGTAGGGACTTCGTGCATTCTAATCGTGGCCTATGCAGTGCCAAACTGCCGCGAAAATGGTGCGAACGTCTTAGAACATGCCCAACAAAAAGAAGCAGAATGCGTGCGAAAGTTCTTGAACACAATTTTGGAAATGCTGGTGTAGGGAGTTCGTGCGGTTTAATCGTGGCATATGCAACAAAAAGAAACAGAATGCGACAGTTTTGGGAATGCTGGTGTAGGGATCGTGCGTTCCGATCGTGGCCTATGCAATGCCAAACTGCCGCGAAAATGGTGCGAAAGTCTTGCGGAAGGCCCAACAAAAAGAAGCAGGGTTTAGGGGAGGATCTGTGGGGGGTTCAGGGGAGTATCCACAAGCCCGCCGCATTCCACGCAGGCAGCAGCTTGTACCTTCGGATGCCCCCAAACCTAGCATGTGTTCCAGCCACTGGGACCTCACCCCGAGAATTCAAAACTCCAAACTCCAAGCATTTAAAGAGATTTCCTCGGGTGTACAGCACCATGATGTGGCGGCGACTCCGACCTGGGAGGCAAGAGACTGAACAACTCTGCTATGTAAAGCATGGTTCATCATCATTAACGATAGACCTTCGGCGAGGTGGAGGAATAGCATTTGCAATAGAACTACTTCAGTGCCAATGTCTGGCCAAAAGAATGTAACAACCAACAGAGGATGTTTTCAGGTGCCTGAGCCCGACCTCCTAAACAAGGACTCATTGCATCGACTAGCAAACGACGGCCTCAAAAGGCGGGGTGAATCCGGAAAGATTGGGTCGTCCGGTATAGGCACAGCAAGATTTGCCTTTCGTCTTCCTGTTTGGCGTTTGGTGTTTTGAGCCTTCTGGCATCATGAGGTAGGAGCTTTGGGCACGGGGTTTAGGATGTCAGAGGAGAAGCATGTACGGACCGTCTCTACTCTGGCAAGGACTCAGCCGGAGTGCATCGTGCTGCCTGGACCAAACCTTGCCGTCTCTACCCGAAGAGGACAACTTTCTTTGTTTTTTTTCAATGTTCCCACATTCTTCCGCTCGAGCGCGCAACCACCCGACAAAAAGCTAAGGCCGCTGCCACAGAGAGGCTTGCTATCCGCACGCCTGGATCGGTGTCTTTGACGCAGGCCTCATGGGCTTCGGCTCAGGCTTTAATCCAAAGTTGCAACGAATACTGGATGGCAGTACGACCGACATGATGACACTGCCGCCGCTACTACTGCTCCTTCTGCTGCTGCCCCTACCACTACAAATGCTGCAGCTGCTGCTACTAAGTACGGCTACTGCTACGGCTCCTGCTGCTCCTACTACCACTCCTAATATTACGGGAACCCGGCGGCAAGGGTGTTGCCGATCTCACGGTAATGCCCGTGCAGGCGCCCTCCCATAGAGCGGACCTTCCACGCTGTCCGGCTTACATAGCCACTGGTGTGTACGTGACAACAGGATTGAAACGGGTTTATGTACGTCTTGCCTAATTAGGGAGTTCCGGATAGTACCAGGCAAGATCTTCACGACTTGCCGCGAAGTCTCATTGGACTCCTGGACGGCTCTCATGTTCATGGGGTCCGACAGGTTTCGGTGCTAGGTTTGCGATGACGGAAGGGCGCCTAGTCTTGTAAGTCCAAACTTTTTAGGGTTTCGTATACGTTTCACGCACAACATGAAAAAAGTACAAGTCTGAGTGCGACATGAAAATAAGAGTTCAAGTAGAGTTCAAGCAGGGGCGCGGGCGCCAAGGTGCCGACACCTGAACTTTTTGGACAAGTAAGAGTTGAAGTACATTGCAAGCAGGGGTACCCGGGGGGAAACAAGCGGCCGACACGTGCATTTCGATTGGAAAAGTACAAGTCCGGAAGGGGCGCCAAGGGGGGCGACACCGTCATTTTTTCGACTAGGGGTTGTTCTACTTTGTCATCATGCTGGAACATGTACTTGCATCTCCTGATTGCACCTGGGCTCGTACTTGTATGTGTATATATTGTCCTGTTAACTAATGTTCTGGAGAAATACACGAAGTAAGCAGGTCTGACATCTTAGTGTTAGGCGTAGTTTTGCTCTTACGTTTGAATCAAGTGGCTGCGCTGAGAACAATAAATTTGGATACACTTGAAAATAATTTTTCCACACTGTTGGGAGGCTTGGCAGGCTTAGAGCATGGGCATTCTCAGTTGAAGATTTCAACTTCGGCCGACCCAGGGCGAAAGCTCGGCTTTGCGGGCCTGAACCTTGACACCGCCGGATGTCGAAAGGATATGGAGTTTAGGGAGTCTTGGGTGTCGACTACGGTTGGAGTATGGTTGCATTCTTGGCATTGATGCAAGCGCCCGCGCCCCGAAACTGCAGAAGAATCTTGTCACGGCATGTGGGCGACGTGTTTCTCGAGAAGCCAGCTCTCTTGGATAATCCTCGTCATCACCATCGTCATCATCATCATCATCAGCATCATCATCATCATCATCATGGCCTTCTTCGTGTCACATATAACTAGACTTCACGCCAACGTCTCTCCTTTCGTTTTCCAGTCGACCAAAATCACCCTACTAGTACCTACTAGTAGAAGAAAGTCCCAGGCCCAGGCCAAACTTTTCCACAAGCCTGGACCCAACTCATCCTAAACTAAACCCCAAGCAATACGAAGCAAACACAGCCTCTCAACGACTCCAAGTCCAGACTTCTTGACGCAGCACTGAGCACTACATCTTGAACAGCCCTGAGCCGTGGACACTATTCGTTTTTCCAGGGTTTCTCTGCTCCGCAAAGGCTTTTACAACACCCTCCCTCTCCCGGCACCAGCGAAGCGAGGAGCTCCAGGGCTGCGCGGCGGCGAACCGGCGAATCATCGGCTGCAGAGAGATGGTCAAGGCGGGTCAGGCGGGTCGAGGCGTTCAAGGAGGGTTTGGGTTCAAAGCTCCGGGTGTGTCTGCATATATATATATATACATACATACATACACACACATACATCAAAGCATGAAGGGGTGTTCAAGGGTACTGGCTGTGAAGGGGCTTTTTGAAAGAAAATCGTAACGGTTTTTGAGCTCCTGCAATGGGCATATCTGGGCTTCAAGCTCAGCATAGGCACCAAGACTCTGGGCTTCTGGGATTCATTTTCAAGGATCTGAGGTTCCGAGCAGTACATGGATTTGTGTCTAGGGTCTTTTGAATCCGCAGAGTTCGGAATCTTGACAACATCGAGGGCAGCTGTGGTTTTGAAGGTATCGGCCGCAGTCATGTTTTGGACGGGGCTGCGCTTTGAAATGGGCTGATCTTCCCTTATCGTCTTCGGGAACCTTTGCCTCATACCTGAATCCTCAATTGAAGATCTTCTTGTGAATCCTTGCTTCCTTGGTCTGGGAGATGTGGAACGTCTAGCAAGCCTTGGTCACTCTGGGTACGTACAAGCCCTGTGAAGGATCCGTTTCAAAACAGTACGGATGCACCATTGAAGCCTTATAAGCCCTAAATCCTAAAGCCTGAATTCTGCATTGCCTTGACCTCTGAGATCCAGGCAGAGCAAGCGCCCGATGACACTCAGCAAATCCTAGCGCCAACAGCCGCGCTTCAAAAAAAATCCGAGGCTGGTGAGATTTGTGTGGAAAGACCTAGCCAGCTCCAAAACCGCAGACTCTAAGCTCAACTTCAACCTTAAACTCTGAACCTTGGTCGCAGGGGCTGGGGGGTCGAAGAGTACAGAGTTTCGTTTGCAAACGTAGTGCAGTGCTCTTTTCTGTTTGAGCATGAACCCCGAAATCTTCGAACCCCATCCAGACCAAAAGCAACGACATCACACCTGAACACCATAGACAATTCCGAAGCACAAAGCTTCATAGTTTGATCCCCAGCATCCAGCACTAGGCATGTAACAAGTCTCTGTGACTGAAGGGGTGTGATACCTCTACATCATGTAATGCCGGAATTTATTTACCCGATACCTTGGGGTTCATGATTCTA